TACCCTGGGCCAAACAGCTTAATGCTTTAAGCCCCACTCTCCTCTTCTGAAATAACAATAGTCCTTACCTCACAGAGGTGTTTTTCTGATTAAATGAAACAAAGTATGCAAAGTACTTAGAACAATGTCCAGATGATATATCATAAATGTAATAACATCATAAATGTAATGTTGGATACTAACACACTGCAGTAAAGACATGTATATATATATGCATATATATGTGCATTATATATATATTTTGAGACAGGGTCTCCTTCTGTTGCCCAGGCTGGAGTGCAGTGGTGTGATCTCCGCTAACTGTAGCCTCAAGCCCCTGGGCCTGGCCAATACCATTATAAAACAGACATCATACTCATCTACTGTCATGAGAAAAGTGTACATCACTAATATGGTTGTAATTATTCATTAAACATTTAAGCAACGTTAAGTGCAATACTCCTTAGTGAATACTAGGATATAATCTTTCCCCTAGCAATTTAGAATCTAGCAGGGGCTATTAAATACACATATGGAAGATGTGTGTGGAGTAATATAAGGGCCATAAAGGAAGAGAAAAAATTAGAGGAATCAACTTTTTGATTCCTCTGATCAACAGGAATCAAGTTTGTTTGTTTGTTTTTTAGATGGAGTCTCACCCTTGTCGCCCAGGTGGGAGTGCAGTGGTGTGGTCTCAGCTCACTGCAACCTCCGCCTCCCAGGTTCAAGCAATTCTGCCTCAGCCTCCCAAGTAGCTGGGACTATAGGCGTGCACTACCACGCTGGGCTAACTTTTGTATTTTTAGTAGAGATAGGGTTTCACCATGTTGGCAAGGCTGATCTTGATCTCCTCACCTCAAGTGATCTGCCTGCCTCGGCCTCCTAAAGTGCTGGGATTACAGGCGTGAGCCACCATGCCCAGATGGAATCAAGAGGTTTTAAGAAGGACAGTGTTTAAGATGAATCTGAAAGAATAGATTGAAGTTTTACAATTTTGAGCTATGACATAAAGAACCTTCAAATGATAATGATATATTGAGCTAATATTGATCATATGTTAAATCAGACATACAGTTTGATGCCAAGGTATACCATATAACACCCCTCCTTAATTTTTTTTTTTCTTTTTGAGATGTGAGCCACCGCGCCTGGCCTTCCCCTCTCCAATTTTTATTAAAAATATGTGTATAGATAAAGGTCTAGATGGAGATATTAAGTGGTTATTTCTTGGTGGTGAGATTATGGGAAATATTTATATTTATTTTGCTTTTATGTTTTAATATTTAAGATTTTACACATATATTTTACAAGAGTAGTTTTATAATTGGACAAAAGCACTTTTGTTAAGGACTGGCTAAAATCAAAGTTGCTGGTTTAAGTGTAACTTGGTACAACTTTTAAAAAATAATTTGGCAGTTTGTATTAGTAACTGTGAAAGTGTTGATAGTCTTTTTCACCTAGTAATTTCACTTTTGGGTGTCCTTAAAAATCTACATTCATGAAGATGTTCTATGATTTCTTTATAATGGCAAAAAGTGAAGGAAACAATTTATGTCCAAAACTAGAGAATTAATGCAGTAAATTTTATGTCCACTTAATGTATTTTTATGCAGCTGTTAAACTGGTTATGAAGCTTATGTAGAAATATGAGAAATGCTTATAAAAGTGAAAAGAGGATGCAATATCGCATACAACTACTATTACACAGTGTAGTAAAATATATGTGATGGGGCAAAAGGTCTAAAAGAAAATACATTGTCCTCATGTTTTTCAATGTGGTTAATATTACTTTCACAATGAAAACAATAATAAGTTTAAAGGTTGGGGATCAAAAGTTCCTCACTGACCCTCTGATTTGAATGTAAAGTATTAAAAATTTATGTCCATCATTGGCCGGGCGCGGTGGCTCAAGCCTGTAATCCCAGCACTTTGGGAGGCCAAGACGGGCGGATCACGAGGTCAGGAGATTGAGACCATCCTGGCTAACACGGTGAAACCCCGTCTCTACTAAAAAATACAAAAAAAAAAAACTAGCCAGGCGAAGTGACGGGTGCCTGTAGTCCCAGCTACTCGGGAGGCTGAGACAGGAGAATGGCTAAACCCGGGAGGCGGAGCTTGCAGTAAGCTAAGATCCGGCCACTGCACTCCAGCCTGGGTGACAGAGCGAGACTCCGTCTCAAAAAAAAAAAAAAAAAAAAATTATGTCTATCATTAACCAGTCCTTAAGCTTCTACAGACTTTAACAGTTTGGTGTCAACTCAACGTTTATCTACTTTCTGACAGGTATCCCTGCCATGATTGCATGGGAAAGAGAGTCAGAAGGGACCCTTCCAATTTCGCCATTTCACAAATTGAAACTTGAACCCCAGCCTTCCAAGCTAGCAGCAGAACCAAGATGGGGATCCAGGTCTACTAGGTTATCTAATAGTATCTGAGACCATTTATAGCTTCAGGTCTACCCACGAATATTCATAAACTTGACATGTCTGCTGACTGAACCCTGGCATGACTACCCTTCTGGCTGGCCTGGGGGGTTTGATTCCCCACAGTAGTGCTCAAACTTTTATTTTCTACCACTTGGGGGCCGCAGACGCGTCATCCAGGTCTCCCTTTTCACTTTCACCCTTCCCGCCCCCAGTGGCCGGCAGGGGGCGCCGTGACACCCTGGTTCCGTGGCCCCGCCCCCGGCCAACCGTCGATTGGGCCGGCGCGTGACGTCACTCCGTTTTAGCCAAACAAATGGGTTTCGGGGCGAGCGTTGGGCGCCGCCGCGCCGTGCTGGGTGCTCGGTCCGCCTCAGCGGTGGGGAGCGAGCCAGGCCTCCCGCCACCGCTGCCGCCGCCGCCACTGCATCGGGCTGGTGCAGCCCCGGTCCAGGCCGTGGCCGGGGCAGGAGCGCAGGTGAGTCCGGGCCGGGGTGGGGCGTGGCGCAAGGGCCGCGCGGCTGGGGTCCGGCGGCGGCCACCGTGGCCGCTCCCCGCCCCCTCCCGCCGCCTGCCTGCGCTCCCGGGGCGCCGGGCGGGTGGGGGCGGGGGCGGGGGCGCCGCCCGCGGGTCCGGGGCAGGGACCCGGCTGCCTGAGCCTCCTCCGGGGCGGCCCTCCCCGCGCGCACGGCCCGGGCGCTGAGCGCCCCCGCGGGCCACGGAGGGTCGGGCGGGTAGGGAGCGGGGTCCCGGGTCCCGGCTGAAGCCGAGGAGATCACAGATAGGCCGTGAGCGGGCACCGGACCGGCGCTCCCACCTACGGGACCCCGGGCGGTGAGGAAGTCAGCCTTTGGACTTGGGTCGCCTCGCCCCTGTCGCGCTCGGCCACTCTGCCCTTCCCTGCCCCAGCGCAGGTGAGCTGGCGCTTGTCCTTAACCTTCCTCGGCGACGAGGCGGGACGGAGGCTCGGACGCCTCCCCAGCCTCTGGGCTGGCGCAAGCCGACTGCGGTTCGTCCCCAGTCCGCGATGAAGTCATAGAGCTGTGGGTCCGCGTGTCTGTGACGTCAGTAGATGGGTCCTGGGATGTCACCGCAGGCCCGGGCGGGGACCTGGGCTCGCGGAAGGGCCGGGGGGACCCGCAGGGGAGAAAAAGGAAGTTGTGTTCCACGAACGCCTGGAATCGCAGTGAATTTGAATCGAAAGTTGTTCGATATCAGCATTTTGCAATTTTAATGTAATAGTTGTCAATTTCTTTAACTTCTTGTCCAGCAAGCGTTGCGAGTACAGCTTAGTATAAGACATTTGATTTAGAAAAATTTAAGTCAAGGTAGGAGGTTTTTTGGAGGGTGTAATGTAAAAAGCCTTTTAGGAAGCTAAATTCATAGTTCGATGGTTTGCGATCAGAATTACTGAAAAAAAGAGAACCACTTCTAGTGCTGATAAATCAGTTTGCTTTACTTTTGTTTTTTTTTTAACTGGACATCTATCTGCTTGTTAGCATTTTTTGTTAGAAAATGGCTAGGAGGAGGGAGAGTGGATCTTACATGATTTTTTCTTTTTTTTCTGTTGTAAAGGGAGGGAGGAGTTTGAATTAATCCAACATTTGTCTTAAATAATAATTACCTGAGGAATTAATTTATCCAGGTTGTCCCTATCCTACCCTGTGCTACCATGCTACCACCCCGTGCTACCATGGTTTAGAAGTCAGCAACAAACCTTTTTCTTGCTTTCTTACTAAGACCCGGCTGCAACTTAATATAATAACATATTCCAGGACCGCTTGTCTGGATAGTTAACTAACATTTTGTCTTTAGTGCTTTTAAATATGAAATTACAGAATTAAAAAAAAATGATTTGTCAATGAATGCTGTTTTTCTTCCAAAGCTTTCAAAAGAGATCTAAACTGGAAGAGAAGCTAGTCACTTGTCGTAGTAACTGACCCTCTTCAGGTATTCCAGCATATCAGTACTTTTCATTTCCTCCTCTTTGTCGAATAATGTAAATGGCATCTAGTTCAAAAGGTAGATGGCTTAAAATTGAAGCATAGGTACAATTGGTGTCTTTAGCAGGAAGCTTGAGTAGAAGTCCTTAGTCCTTCCTCACTGACCTTGACTTGTAATGGTAGGGTTTTTTTTTTTTTTTTCTCTCTCTCTCTCTCAATACTTCCTGCTCCCCATTTGTCTTTTAAAGGTGATTGATAACATATTGTCTCTCTGGGTTTTACATCAACATGCAGGTGGAAGTTATGCCCATTTTCAGGCAGGAAATAAAAGCAAAAATTTACCCCTGTTAGGTACTATTGGATTTGACTGGAAGTTCACAAAACAAGGCTTTTCTGTACATCTTATTTTGATCCTCACCACAACCTTGGGAATTTGACAGCATTGTGTGCACTACTGAAAGTTGTTCTGTTTTTTTCTTCCTTCTTTTAAGAAATTAGGAATTTTATGCTGACAGTGTTGAGTGAAGTCTCTAAAGATACAATTCTGTGTACAAATTATTTTTTGTATATACAAACTTTGTATACAAAATTTTGTATAAAAGATACAAATTTGAGCCTTTGGATAACCAGAGACTTGAGAGGCACCTGAATTAATATGAAACTGCTGATATTGAGAGTTAGTCAACCTTCTCTTGAAGATGAAAGAATCTTGGCAAGATACTATGTAATGCAACTGAAGGGGGTCCAAAATGGACACTTGCATGTGTTTTTCCCAAGTGGTAGCCATTCTGGGGCCGGCTACATGGCTCTCTGTAAGTTAGGTGTACTCGTTTGTTTGTTTGTTTGTTTGTTTGAAACGGAGTCTCGCTCTGTCGCCCAGGCTGGAGTGCAGTGGCGCGATCTCGGCTCACTGCAACCTCTGCCTCCCGGATTCAGGCGATTCTCCTGGCTCAGCCTCCCGAGTAGCTGGGACTATAGGCGCGTGCCACCATTTCCAGCTAATTTTTGTATTTAGTTTTACTGTGTTGGCCAGGCTGGTTGTGAACTCCTGACCTCGTGACCCGCACACCTCAGCCTCCCAAAGTGCTGGGATTACAGGTGTGAGCCACTGTTCCCGGCCAGGTGTACTAGTATTAATGAGAAAGGATGAAAGTCAGACTAAACCAGAAAGATCTACAGCTGATAAGGAGACACCTGCTCTTTGGCAGTGCTTTTTTCCCCTCTGTTTTGCTTAGCAATTGCAAAGTTTTACTTTTTCCTCATGGAAAATGAGTTAATAGGTGAAGAATACATGTCGTAGGGCATACTGATCTGACTGAGGAACAATGACAGATATTTAAAAAGTCAGCTAGTGAGTGTTGTTGTGCAGTTATCTAACAAGCCATAACTCGTGTGAAACATTTTTACAGTCTGTTTCTATTTTTGGCAGGATATTTTTCACCCATGCTTTCCAGTTTTGGGTCTGGGAAGCAGCTTTTACTTCATATAGATGGTTTTATGGAAATTAATTTTGAGATTGGTTTATTATTTTAAGTCATTCACTTATGTAATTTGAAGGCACTAAATTAAACAGTCATTTGTTATGTGGCATCTTTCTGATGGATAAAAGCAAGTGTCAAGAATGAGAGTGCTGTATTGTAGAAATTCCTCAGGATATGTTTATTGGATCAATTATTTTATTAACATTTAGGATTTAAATTCTTACAAAATTTTTACTTTATTTTTTAAACTTAATTTATGTTCAGCTTAATTTGACAGTTTTTATATTCTAGTAAATTTTAATCTTGTTTTAGTATTTGTTTGGGAGAGAACATACTTATCTTTAGAGACATCATTTGGTTTTATCTTCCAAAATTTGCAGCTGTTTAGAACCAGATACTTGAGGGAAGCTACTATGGTATGATGAATGCCTTCCTTGTTAGGTCATGTGTGACAAAGGCAAAATTCAGCAAGTGCATAATCTGCAGTCCTTTGGAAGCAACAAAAACAAAAAAGAGCAGATTAACTTGAAATGCATTTAGGTCATCTGGAAATTGAATTCCTGTCAGTTCTTATCTTTGCATAATTTATCTTCTTCCCTTTAGTTAATGCTTATGGTATTTTGAAGCTGATGACATACTGTATTTTCCAGGAGAGCATTAATACAGTGTAGTTGTTTCTTAGTGTTGGTTAAAAGAACTTATCAACCTTTCATTCCAACCTCCATCTTCTAGTTAGTGCTCCACAGAAGAGGCTCTCATTAGTCCCTTTAAACATATTCAGCTTCAGAAACCTAACATGTACATTTCCTACCCTCCGTATAGTATAGTTGTAAATATGAAACTAAGTGCTATGTAAGTGTGGTTATTGCATTTTTAGGTATGGATTTCATTCATCCAGCAAACATTTTTTTGAGGATTTCTGTGCCGCATACTCAGGATCTGTGACACGGGGATGAAATGTCCTTGCTGCAAGGACCCTTAAAACAAATTAACATTGCCCTGGTGGGTCTTGGGTGTGAGAGGCTAGAGTTGGGTCAAGAGGATAAACTATTGGCTGGGCGCGGTGGCTGACACCTGTAATCCCAGCACTTTGGGAGGCCGAGGCGGGCGGATCACGAGGTCAGGAGATTGAGAGCATCCTGGCTAACATGGTGAAACCCCATCTCTACTAAAAAAAAAAAAATACAAAAAATTAGTCAGGCGTGGTGGCCGGTGCCTGTAGTCCTAGCTACTTGGGAGGCTGAGGCAGGAGAATGGTGTGAACCCGGGAGTTGGAGCTTACAGTGAGCCAAGATCGCGCCACTGCATTCCAGCCTGGGTGACTGAGCGAGACTCTGTCTCAGGAAAAAAAAAAAGGATAAACTATTTATGTTATGCTAGATTGGCCAGTGGTGTTAGTTAAAGGTCAATTTAAGGAGGTATTAGAAACTCAGTTAAAAAGAATAGGGAATAGCTTATTATAGCCCAAGACAAAGGATCTAGATACCACAGATTGAGATTGTGCTAGAATGAATGGAACTTAGTGAGTTCGGGCTTCCTTAGAGGCAAGAACAAGTGCTCAAGGCCAGAACTAGTCTGTATAGGCAATCTAAAATTAGAAGCAGAGAAAAGAGGGACAACCCGAATACCTGTTCTCCTTTCGCATTTACCTTATTTTCCTTTAAAGTCAATCCTTTTCTTTAATTGATGAACTTGGGAAATACGCAGGCCTCTCACAGCCTTCATTTCCAGTGTTTGCTTTCTTTCTGGAGGATTTTATAGTGAAACATTTCATTCATTACAGAAAAGTGGAAAGAATTGTTTGTACATTGCATACCTAAATACTCACCATCCCTATATCGTTAGTCATATTTTGCTATATTTGCTTTATTGCCTATCTGTCGGTCTATCCATTCATCAATCCTTTTGTTTTTGTTGTATTTCAAATTGTACTTTACACCTAGACATTTCCTGATGTCTATTATTAAATTTGTTTACTTGTTTTTAGGCAAAACTTGTATATAGTAAAATGTACAAATCTTATACCATTCTGTTAGTTTGAACAAGTTCATACATCTGTGTAACCCATATATCCCTGTCAAAATATAGAACATTCCATCACCACAAAAAGTTCCTTCCGGCACCTTGTAGGTTAATTTCATTAGCTGTTTAATCTCCTGCAGTCTTATTTCTACTACTTTCTTCTGAAACTACTTGTTCAAATGATCTGCTTTGTTAGAAGTACATTAGGGTAGCATTGTGATTGGTGTTCAGAGTATAAAGAAATGAAGAATATAGCCCTTGCTCTCTCTGTGATTCAATTTTTTGTTTTGTTTTGTTTTTTTGAGACAGTCTCGCTTTGTTGCCCAGGCTGAAATACAGTGGTGCAGTTGTAGCTTACTGTAACATTGAGCTCCTGAGCTCAAGCCATCCTCCTTCCTCAGCCTCTTGAGTAGTTGGGTCTACAGGTGTGTGCCACCATGCCTGGCTGCTTTTTTTTTTTTTTAAAAAGAGACTAGATATTGCCCAGTCTGGAGTGCAGTGGCTGTTCAGAGGCCTGATTATAGTGTACTGCAGCCTTGAACTTTTGGACTCAAGCGATCCTCAGCCTTCTGAGTAACTGGCATGTACCATGGGCTTAGTTTAGGTTTTAATTAGGTATCTGAAGAGAGGTAAGTAAATGTTACATGAATTCAGAGGAGGAAAGTTTCTTAGGAGTGGGTCTTGCTAAGGTCTGAGTGTTGGTGTCCCTCCAAAATTTAAATGTTGGAACTTAATCTCCAGTGTGATAGTGTTAAGAGCTGGGGCCTTTAGGAGGTGATTAAGTCATGAGTGGGATTAATGCCCTTGTAAAAGAGGCTTGAGGAGCTCTTTGTCCCTTCCATCCTGTAAGGTGCCATCTCTGAGTAACAGGGCCTCACCAGACACTGAATCTGCCAGTGCACTCATCTTGGACTTCTTAGTCTCCAGAACTGTCAGCAGTAAATTTCTGTTGTATAAAAGTTACACAACGTAAGGTATTTTATAGCAGCCTGACTGAACAAGGACAGGCCTTTATTTAAGGATCCAGAGAAGAATTTTTTATTTTTATTTTTTTAAAGACTGACTAGAAGCTTTTGCATAAAGGAACAGTAGCAGGCAAGGTGGTTGGGTCCAGGCTTTGGAAGGAGTTTGAGTATTATTTTGTACCCAGTGATAGTTTTTGAGGAAGGAAGTAATGTTTTCCACAGATCTTTCTGTTAAATCTTTATCCTGTTTGTCATCTTTGGTACTTAGTTGTATAGAAGACTTCGTGTTTTGAGTTCTCTCTTCTCTTAGTTCTTTGCTTATCTCTAATTTCTCAGCTTTTCTGACGATTCTTTCTCTTCCAGATCCAGACTATCTAACGCTCTGTTCTTGAACCTTTATTCCTTCTTATAATCCAGCCCTTACCTTTTGGGTAATTATAACTTCTCAGTTATAATTCTATCCAATTCATGCCTACATTTTTATTCATAAACTGTTAACTCTTGTTGGGTTTTTGACTACTAAGAAGATGCTTCTTTTGTATATCCCTTTTTACTTTGACTTATTCAGGATCATGTAGCAAGAGCATTTGCTTTAAGTAGTTGTAGCAAACAGGATTTATTGAGAGAAAGAGATTGTAAACTTTGAGTGGGCTGCATGAACAGATTAGTCTGAACTTCTAGAAACAAACCCCTGAATGACACTGCAGAGCTTGCCTGCCAAGGGGGCTACTGCCACCACACCACTGAGAACCATGTTGTTGAATCAGAAAGCTGCCATCAGAACTTTAACTTCCTTGGGTAGGACTGTACTTTCTGTTCTCTATCTTATGCGGTATGTCTGCTTGCCCATACTTAGGTCATATGTGAAACCTTAGCATTGCCTATATATAAAACAGGAAGTGCATGTGAGAGCTTGATTGGAGTGTTGAGTCTGAAGTACATTCAGTTTGTGAGGAACTGAACTCATTTTCCCCAATTCCCTCATTGTGACAAAGTTAAGCCTTTTCTAAGTTTTCTTTTTCAGTCCAAAGGCATGGGTATTGTTCTAGTTTTCGGAGGTAGAAACTATTGAAAACTGTATCATTTAGATTTTTTAATGCTGATATAACAGAAAACCAACTCAAACTCACTGGCTCACAATATTAAAAATTCCAAAGGTGAAGCTTGATTCGGTTATACTTATGTGATCAGACTTCATCTTTCTCTTCCTTTATTTAATAAGCTCAGCTTCCGTGGTTTTGTCCCTTTGTGTTCACGTTTGTTGCAGCTCAAGCGCTACATCCTCATGCTGTCAAGTCCAGAGGAAAATATATAGGACTACTGTACAAAGAAAACTAGTTACCT